TTTTTTTTTTTTTTTTTTTTTTTCAGTACTGGGGGATGAACCCTGAGCCTTCACACCGTGCCACACCCACCAGCCCTTTTTAAAAATTTTTCTTATTTTGAGACAGGGTATTGTTAAGTCCCTGAGTTGCCCAGGCTGGGCTGGGACTTGTGATCGTCCTGCCCCAGAGTCATGGCATCGTGGGTGTGTGCTCTGTGCCTCCCTGGTCAAGTTTTTTTATCTTGTTCCTGTCACCCTGTTGGACACTCACAGGTCCAGGTGAAGAGACACGGTTTTCACAGCAGCAGCTTTTGCATCCCTGAAAAGTGACAGAGACCACAGTTGTGTGTCATTGTGGCAAAGCCAGTGGAAGACTAGCCACACACTGCCCGGCTGTGCAATCTCCACAGTTAGTGGTTTTTCAATTCAACTAGAGCGGGGAAGGGGCTGGGATTTAGCTTAGTGGTTCTGCCACCTGCTTTGCAAGCACAAGGACCTGAGTTCAATCTTTGGTACCAAAAAAAAAAAAAAAAAGAAAGAAAGAAACTAGAGTAGGTAAACTAGAGAGGTTACTTAGTTTTTTTTCTCAGTAATGTTCTCCCTACATTTTTGTTCTCTCATTTGCTCTTTTCCATTAGTTCTTTCGCTTTTGGAGTGATGAATGTTTGTTGACCTTAATGAAGGAAAGTACAAGACTTGTGTCTAACCCTTGGGAATGGAAACTATTTCTTAAAAACTTAATTGGGGAAGGGTTTCAGGTAGATGTGGAATTTTTAAAAACATAGCACTGGTTATGTACTAAGCGTTCATTCATCTATCGCTCCTCCCCAAATGTAGATTGGCTCATTAAAAATCCTGAAGGAAATCAGTCATAATCCTCAAATCCGGCGTAATATTGTTGACCTTGGGGGCTTACCAATTATGGTGAATATCCTCAGTTCTCCCTACAAGACTCTGAAGTGTCTGGCAGCTGAGACCATTGCAAATGTCGCCAAGTTCAAGCGAGCCCGCCGGGTGGTGCGACAGCACGGGGGCATCACCAGACTGGTGAGTGCTGAGGGGCCGCCTGCTCACTTCCCACGTGTCCTGGCCATCGAGGCGAGCTCCGGGGTCACCGTTTTCTTTATACTTCCAGAGGAAGAATAATTCTGGTCCTCCTGCGTTAGGGAGTGGTCATGAGAGGGTATTGATATTCCGCTTCCAAAGAGATGGAAGCCTTTTAACTGTTCATGTATGTAGGCAGAGAGGGTGAGAGAAGGGCAGATGTGCTGCCCTGACCTCATACATGTTGATCTCAGTGTAGGCTCCTCCCAGGGAGACGGCCCCTCGCTGTGAGTAGAAGCCTGCGGTCTTATCAGCCCAGGTGGTTCAGAGCACTACGCAGGCAATAAAAAGGGTGTGGAGTTATCCGTGGGAAACATCTCTAGTTGGTGATCGGTATTTTGTCTGTGAAGAGCAGTTAGTAGCATATGCAATTATAGTAATCTTATGTGAAACCATGACGGGATTGAAAACTGTTGGTATCCATGATTACAGTTTTTAAAGAGCTACCACCGGTATTAAGATATGGACTAGAAATATATACACAGAATTATTCACAGGGATTTCATTTGAAGTGATGACTGCCCGCTTTTCCAGTAGAGAAATGTGTTTTTACACACTTGCCGGGCAAGAGTCCGAGGGAAACCTGCAAATGAGAGAGATGACTGATTGGGGTAGACCAGGGCTGGTCTTGGCCTATGAGTCAACGCTTTGAGTGCGGGTTAGGGTTAGGGTTAGGGTTAGCATGGCACTGGCCACCGTGGGTGTGGTTGCCTGGCACACATCAGGCTCTAGAGAGGCACCCGGTAGGGGAGCAAGCAGGGACAGGGATGCTGCATCCAGGTGGGACCCACGGCCAGGTCCCAGCAAGCACGTACACATCCACGCGTCAGTGCCGTGGCTGGGCCTGTGTCTCTTGCCGCTTCGCTGAAAGACGTGTGGGACATTTCCCAAGCAGCACTGTGTGTGTGTGTGTGTCAGGTCATAGAATAGGAGCTGGGGACAGGCACAGAGGCCTGTCCCCGACCAGGGATGTGGTAGTGGTGAGCATAGGGGCCGAGGGGTTGCAGGTAGAACGAAACGTGTCGCAGCTCTGAGAATGCCAGAGGAACAAGGGAGGGCTGATCCGTCGGTTCCATAGGGGGACGGTCAAGGCAGGCTGGGAGAGAAGGTGCTTTGCTGAGTTTTGGAAGGGAAGTATTTTAGGCAGAGCCACCAGGAAAAACATTTCAAGAACATGAGGCGGGGCCTGATAAACAGCATGGAGGGCTTTGGGAGATGCAGGTGATTCTGTGTGGCCAGGCCCAGGTGACAAGGGCAACCGGGGTGCTAGGGTCTGTGGGGTGAGTTAGGGTGAATGAGGATGAGGCCTTGAATACAGCACACAGATGGGTGTTTCTTGTGTTTTCCCATTGCTACAGTAGCTGGGTGCCCTGAACACTCTGCCCTGTTGTAACTGGATCACGGTAAGAGCTGGACTGACTAACTCACGAGTGTCCAGCTGACTCAGGCTGCTCCACTCGTCTCTCCCCGGGGATCCGGATTGGGACTGAGTCTGTAAACTAGGTCCGGGTCATTCCCTCCTAAATTTGGGCTGATGGTCACGACTCGGTCGGCAGGATTGTGCAGTTGGCCCAGCGGGGAAGAAGGATGGATCTGTAGATGGTGTCACAGCCCTCGATGAAGACAATGAGTCCCCAAGATGGGAGGGCCACAGCCCGGGAGAGACCAGACTGCACTCCCTCCCAGGGGCAGCCCGGCTTCTGCAGAAGCCTTTCAGTAAATTGCCTTTTGGTGAAAGACTCTAGTGATTTTGGTTGGAAGAAAGGGGACACTGGCACACGTGGAAGGCTGTATGCTTCCAAAAGGTGTCATGGTTTTGAGAGTATATAAAGCATTCAGTTTTCACTGGAAACTGTAATGGTTTTAGGGACCTTAACTTTCTGAGAAACTAGGCCTGAGGATGTGGTTCTTAAGTATTAACAATGTAAATATTAGAGACAAATTAAGGAAATACTATTGTGGTGAGATTAAGTTTCTTGTGGGAAGGAAATGCAAGAGCTCCCAAATCCAGAGGAAGGTCTTTTGAAGTGCTTTTGTTTATTTCTTTATTTGCTCTGGCTACTGTATCATAGAAAAGTTATTTTTTCTGAAGCGTTCTTGGTTTTGGTGGAGGCACAACAGCCACTGCAGCGATTGAAGGATGGGGTAAATGTTACTCCCCGGATGCTGACCGCACAGCTTTCGTGTCTTCTGCAGGTGGCCCTGCTGGACTGTGCGCAGAATTCAGCGGAGCCTGCTCAGTCGAGTGTCTATGAGACCAGGGATGTGGAAGTGGCCCGCTGCGGGGCGCTGGCCCTGTGGAGCTGCAGCAAGAGCTACTCCAACAAAGAGGCCATTCGCAAGGCCGGGGGCATCCCTCTGCTGGCGCGGTTGCTGAAGACTTCCCACGAGAACATGCTGATCCCCGTGGTGGGCACGCTGCAAGAGTGTGCATCCGAGGTGCCTAGAGCAGCTCTTCTTCTTTTGCCTTTTTTTTCTTTTTATTGAGTTTATTGGTGCAATCTAGGTATACAGTACAGTTACCTTCATTATTGGGATCCTGTACCTTTACATAATAGGTTCTTTTGCCTTCTTAAGTTGACTCTCTTTAGCCCAAACGATAATGTTCAAGGTTGTCCTGACTGTGAAGGATCCCCCTGCCGAAGTGTCAGCTTTTTATTAGAACAAGAGATCAAATGAGCACATGAACGAGATCAGTCCCTGCGCGATACATGTTTTTCCAGTGCTGATTAGCTCTCTTGTTGTATGGGCATCTTAAGCTGGGATTCTACTGTTCATTCAGTTAGCAAGTTTGTTCAGCAAAATTATAAGCATAAGCAGACACTTGTACTTATACGTGATACGCATGTAAGTATCGAAGTTATTGTTCCTAGGAGAACTACCGAGCAGCAATCAAAGCGGAGAGGATCATTGAAAACCTGGTGAAGAACCTGAACAGCCAGAATGAGCAGCTGCAGGAGCACTGTGCCATGGCCATTTACCAGGTGGGGCCAGCCAGCCGCGGGTGTCCTCGCTTTATAGCTCATGGCAGTGACTAAATGTGTGGCCACCGTCTCTCGGGAGGGACCTTGGGGTCTGCATTTTTAGTAAGTACCCTGGGGATTTTATGCACCTGTAGACCTGAGAGCCCTGTCCTGTGATGACGGTGGATTCCGTACTTGCATGTGTCAGAGAGAAACCTACTTCAGTATATGTGCTCGTGGACATTGCTAAGGCCTGGCTATCTCTCAGAGCCTCCTAACACAATGTACTTAGTGTAAAATAGCTAAATAAGCACATGTGCACCTATATTACTTTCTGCACATCTTGCATATCTGCTATCTGCATATCAATGCAGTGATCTTGGGAAATGCTTTTCCTTCCAAGACAATATGAACAAATCGGTGTTTGCACACCTGTGTGTCTATGCTTATTACAATTAGTTTGCTTATTCTATGTTTTGCAGTGCAAGGAATTGAGCCTGGAGCCTTAGCGCATGCTAAGCAAATTCCCTACCACTGAGCTACTTGCCCAGAACTTTTTAGTTTTGAGACTGACTCTTGCTAATTTACAAAGACTGCTTGAACTTGGCATGCTCCTACCTCAGCCTCCTCAGTAGCTGGGATTAATGGTGTTGTGTCATAATGCCTGGCTAAGTTTACTTATTTTAATCTTTGTGAGCTTCTTGTGGATCATAAATATCTTAGTGTATTAGAAAACAGTGGTAAAGGGGAAAAGATGGACTGTTGTAATGAATAAATGCTAAGTTATTCAGTGACCGGCCGGCTTCTACCTGTCAGAGTTGGTTCCCTGGAGAAATGCACTCACAGTATACTGAAAACATAGAGGCAAAAGAATTCAGTTCAGCACAGGCACTGGGTTAGTTTTCCAGGGCCACCGTAACACAGTACCAGAGTGCATGGCTTGAACAACAGAACTTTATCTCCCCAGGGTGATGAGAATGAAGTCTGAGATCCCAGTGTCAGCAGGGTCGGTGTCCTCTAGGGTCTCTGTTCTTCTTTGCTTGTGAGGTGGCCCTCTCCTCCCTGCCATTGTGTGAGGTCTCCTTTTTGTCTGTCTGTCTTGATCTTCTCCTAAGGAGAGCTACATTGAATTAGGGCCACGCCTGTGATCCATTTGGCCTAGATTGATTGTCCCTAAGCACGTTCTTACTCCGAGGTGCTGTACTAGGGTCAGACTTCACGACAGGAACCTGAGGAAGCACAGCTCAGGCCGTAACGAGGACAGATGGCCTTCTCTTGTCTCTGTGCCTCGCATCAATAACCTTTATGACTGGGTTAGAAATAGCACTCAATTTTTGCATTTCTCACTGAACCAGACTCAAGTCACACGCAGAAGATGAGCGTGGCAGGTTTGTCTTTGAGGTGCACTGGGATGAGGATTTCTTCTGTGGCCTTCCTGGATGGAGTTAAGACCGCTTCTGCATCCCTTGGTCTTGGAAAACAACCGTGCTTAGGGTCGTAGGCAACTCTGTAGTTCCTTTATCATGTGTTGACTCTGTAATCTGAGAAGAAGAGTCAGCTTGAGATGTTTATTTCAAAGCGGGACACAGTGTGGATAAACCTATTTGAATAAAAAGCTAGGGTAGGATTGATGTCAATCATTCCTCTGGCCATGGAAACCCTGGTGAGCAAATCATCTCAAGATTGCAGGGTCATTAAAAGTAGACTAAATCCTTGGTGTTGTTATTTTCTGTCTCCTTTGCTACATTTTCCAAAGACTGGGTTATCTCACTATAGACATTGTCCACTCCAGCCTGTGTATTCTTGATTTCTTTTTTAATTTAAATTAAATTTTTATTGAGTTCATTGGTACATTTTGGTGTACCTTATGATCACATTCATCATTGAGAATTTGTACCTGTACATGATATATCTTGATTCTTATTTTTTTCCCATTCCCCTGCCCTCCTCCAGCTCCCCCACCCCCTATATACAAAAGCTTTGTTTCCTTTTTTTCCTTCTTACTTTCATTTGTTTTCCTTTCCTTTCCCCTGGCCCCTCTCCAGTTCTCCTTTCCCTTTAAACATTTTCTTCCTATTTCACAATATCTATTATCCATTTTAGTCCTCATGTATACCTTCAGTCTCTCGCACCAGAGAAACTATTTGGTATTTTACACATGTGTGTCCTATTTATTTCACTTAAGCGTATGGCCTCAAGGTGGTGCATCCATGTAGCTATAAATGCCTCAAGTTTGTCTTTCTTTATGGCTGAACAGTACTCCATTTCATTTTTTAAAAAAAACCCACATCTTCTTTATCCACTCATCAGTGGACTTTTGGGCTGTTGCCAAGATTTAGCTGTTGCAAACTTTTAAACGTGGGTGCTCAACTGTCTCTGTAGTCTTTTTTTTTTTTTTTTTTTTTTTTTTTTTTTTTTTTTTTTTTTTTTTTTTTTTTTTTTTTTTTTTTTTTTTTTTACTTGGTACTGGGCATTGAACTTGGGTCCTTGTGCTTGTGAGGTAGGCGGTGGCACCACTCAGCTAAATCCACGGCCCTGTCGCTGTATTCTTGATTTCTTACTGACCTCTGTTTCTGCCCTATAGAGGCCCAGGGTACCTCACAAACAGCTAGAGAGAATTGCCAAATAAGTAGAACCTGTTAGGCATTCCCCAAAACCACACAAGTGGAGAGCCGGAGGGTCAGGTGACTGCCAGGATGGGCAAGAATGATGTTTTGCTTAGAGGCACCTTCAGAAAATGATCCTCGGAAAAGAAGTCTCATGGTTACTGTTGATGCTCCTCGACTTACAAGGGGGTTGATCCTGACAAAGCTGGTCAACTGCAAAGGCACTGGCCGGACCTAACCACTGAACACGAGAGCTCAGCAGCACAGCGCACTAGGAGTAGGGTCTTTCAGCAGCACAGTCTCCAGCTCCAGCTGGGAGCTGCTGCTCAGTCCCACTGGCCAGCACCACAGAGTGTGATGTAGTGAGTCAGTGAGCCAGGAAGAGACCTGCGCCTCTGCACTCCTCTTATTCCGCCCCAAGGCTAGAAAGCCCTGGGTGGAACCACAGTAAGTCGAGGACCATGTGGAGCGTGGTAGCTTCTCTAACCCTCACCGTGCCCCCGAGAGGCCTCGGCCGCTCACTGCCTCTGGTTCTCCTTCTGTGTAGTGTGCTGAAGATGAGGAAACCCGCGACCTGGTGAGGCTGCACGGAGGACTGAAGCCCCTGGCCAGTCTTCTCAACAACACCGACAATAAAGAGCGCTTGGCCGCCGTCACGGGGGCGATATGGAAATGCTCCATCAGCAAGGAGAACGTGACCAAGTAAGACTGCTGCTCAGCCTCCTCTGAGAAAGGCGTGGCCTGGAACACGTCCTCCCTCAGATGTTGTGCCGTTTTCTTAAAAATTCCACCTTGATGTCGTTCGGAGACGCACACTGTGTGGCAGATGAGGGGACTCTCTGAAGTGACAGGGTGCTGGGCCACCCCGTGAGCCGGCAGTGGTTTTGTGTACTTCAGAGGGGCCTGGTGGGATTTCTGTACAAACAGGTGGCTTCAGCCTTTTAAATTAGAAATCTCTCTGGTGTTTCCTGCAGAGACCTACCAAGGTGAAGGGGAGGAATTCCCCACTGAACCATTAGAGGTAGAAATCGGTGCCATTGTTTTTCATTTTCTAAAAATAATCAATTGAGTCTGCTCAATTCCAACTAGGCACTCTTAAAGCATATTTTTCAAATAGATTCATCACATTGTATTTTAAATTATTTGTAATTTTTACTGTATTTATTTGCAATTGTATTTATTCCAATCATTAGATTTGTATCTTTGTATAAATTTTGACTTCACATTCTTAATGAATATTTTGAGGTAATTTCTTGTCTCTTTCTGATCTGTCTTAACAAGAAAACCACGGATCCCAACTAACACAAAATAAGTTTACCTAACTAAAGAATGTATGATGAAGTTATGAATTTATTAAAAGTAACCTCAACTAATTAAGCTTTTATCTTAATTAAAAGTTTCCCCAAATTTCAGCAGTAAAAATTCAACTGTCATATTTAAAAATACTGCTGAAATTTTTTAGAAAGAAAAATGTTTTATGTAGAAACAATCTCTAATATTTACCCTTGTGTAGCAAGCTTGGTTTAAATATATAGTGAGCAAAATCAGAATAAAATTACACGGGTAAGAAAGGTGCTAAATATATTAATAGTACTGAAGATAGCAGAGTCTGACAGATTTTTGTTTTATCTAAGCAGCACAAATTACTACTTATTTTGAGACTTACTAACCCCAAGAGTCATGTTGAATGCATTTAAAAGCAAAAATATTTTCATACAGAATTCCTTTCATGAAACAGTGTAAAGCAGTTTGTGTGAGATGGAGGTGGACCAGTGGTATCAGAGGGGCTTCGGCTGGTTGTCTGGTATTGGGGTTAAGCAGTGCCTCATCCTAGGGTGGTTGTGGGGACTGACGGAAGATGCTGGCACTTTTCAGTTGCTGTCTGTGCTGCTGTTGACATTGCCAGCCAGCTCTGAAGGAGAAATCACTCTCGCTCCTCTCGCTGGCTCCAGGTTCCGGGAATACAGAGCCATTGAGACGCTGGTGGGACTTCTGACCGACCAGCCCGAGGAGGTGCTTGTGAATGTGGTCGGGGCTCTGGGGGAGTGCTGCCAAGACTACGAAAACCGAGTCATCGTGCGGAAGTGCGGCGGCATCCAGCCCCTCGTGAGCCTCCTGGTCGGGATAAACCAAGCCCTCCTGGTGAACGTCACCAAAGCCGTGGGTGCTTGTGCGGTGGAGCCTGAAAGTATGGTGTAAGTGGCCCCGGAGCTGGACAGAGTTAACGCTAGAGGTTAGGGAGACCTTTGGGGGCTGTTGGGTAGCGTCGTCGCTCAGAATTGATGTGCACAAATGATGAAAAAAATGTGTTCATGTACAAATAATCCCAAGTTTCCTAAGCATGACATATTGAGCCAGAATGTTGCTGTGCCTGAGCTGGGTGTTTGGGAGGATTTACAACAATCAGTAATCAGTTTCTCATGTGGAAACCTTAATGCAATCAGCAAAGACTTTTTCCTGTGCTCTTTCAGCGTAACCAAGGGAGGGGTCCCGCGTAGGTCAGGGCAGCCTTCTCATTGTGTCCTCCTCCTCTTTTCTTGCCAATTCAGTGAGCATATTTGGAGCACCTGATAAGAACTATGGACTGATGAGGGAAAGAGACATGGGATTTTTTTTTTTTTTTTTTTTTTTGTT